AGAGAGAGAGAGAGAGAGAGAGAGAGAGAGAGAGAGAGAGAGAGAGAGAGAGAGACCCCATTGTGTTTCACATTCATGCTCCCATTGTGCTTCATGTTCCCACTGGCGAAACTGTTTCATTGTCGGGCTGTCCGAACTCGAGGGCTTTCATTGCCTGTTAGAGGGTTTGCTTCATTGACTGTTATTTCATTTCCAATCTGCTCATCTTGGTGGAGTGGGGGCTGTCTCTGTGTGTGTGTGTGTGTCTGTCTATGTGTGTGCCCCCGTGTGTGTGTGTGTGTGTGTGTGTGTGTGTGTGTGTGTGTGTGTGTGTGTGTGTGTGTGTTGTCATATTCGCTGTACACTAAAAAAAGCATGACTGTGCCAGACTGTCACCGACTTCTCATGTGGTTGAACACCGACAGTGTGGCCAGGATACAGGGGAGATGTGTGTGTGTGTGTGTGTGTGGTCATATTCGTTGTACTGTGTGTACACTCAAAAAAGCATGACTGTGCCTGACTGTTTCGTCAGACTGTCACCGACTTCTCATGAGGTTGAACCCCGACAGTCTGGCCAGGATGCATGTGTGTGTGTGTGTGTGTGTGTGTGTGTGTGTGTGTGTGTGTGTGTGTGTGTGTTGTCCTATTCGCTGTACACTAAAAAAAGCATGACCATGCCAGACTGTTTCGTCAGACTGTGACCGACTTCTCATGAGGTTGAACCTTGACAGTCTGGCCAGGATGCCCCTATATGTGTGTGTGTGTGTGTGTGTGTGTTTGTGTGTGGTGATATTTTATAACAAACATACACACACACACACACACACACACACACAGACGGGGGTGCATGACTGTGCCATCTATTGGGGTTCAACAGTCTGGCACAGTCATACGCCCCCGTCTGTGTGTGTGTGTGTGTGTGTGTGTGTGTGTGTGTGTGTGTGTGTGTGTGTGTTGTCATATTCGCTGTACACTAAAAAAAGCATAACCGTGCCAGACTGTTTCATCGGATTGTGTCCGACTGCTCATGAGGTTGAACCCCGACAGTCTGGCCAGGATGCCCCTGAAACGGATTCCACGTTGCAGTAGCTGATGCAAGTCCCAGGGCTCGATCCCTAGTCCTTCCCCTTACCTGTGTACAGTATCTGTGTAGTACCCAGTCCCAGTCTCCCCTAGTCTAGTCAGCAGTACCCAGTCCCAGTCTCCCCTAGTCCAATCAACAGTACCCAGTCCCAGTCTCCCCTAGTCAAGTCAGTAAGTACCATATGGGACTGTAGGCAAATCGGGGCTTGGGAGACAGGGCAGACCAATGCACAACAGAAGTACAAATCAAGGAGCAGCGCCCAACCAAACATTCATTCCGCAGTGTGCAACGCAGACCAGACTGTTGTCTGCCACACAGACACACACATAAACACATACACACACACACACACACAGGTAAGGTTCTGAACGGACATTGACTTCACAAACAAAACCGTTTCAATGGTGGATTGGCTCATCTTGAGCATGCTTCGTTGTCTGCAATACAGGTAAAGTTGCTATGACTTTGGATCTACTCATCTGGGTGGAATAAGGGAAGTTGTGGATCTACACACACACGGGGGCGCTACAGAGCCTTATATGCATCTGAGCAGTGGGGGGGGTTCCGGGACACAGGTCTATTCATCCCGACAGCCCCGCCCCCCTAAAAAAAAAAAAAAAAAAAACGTTCGCGTTCGCCATTTTTTAAGGCCCGAACACGTTCGGGCGAAAGTGTTCGCGTTCGCCTGCGAACGGGAACGGCGTGCAACGCAGATTACGATTAATGATCATAGTGATTGATGTTTTTAAATATCATTTGTACTAATGTCCTTTCTCTCTGTCCGCTAGGTTTACCCTTTATTGACCTTGATAGTATATATTTTTTTAATATTATTTTTACCTTTGCAGCATTTAATTTCGATAGTAATTTTTTTTTTTAAATCACAATAGCCTTTTTTTTTCTTGGATTCTGCCTTTGTTTGTTTTTTTCGCTCTGAATAATGTATTTGGGCATTTGTCAGCTTCGTGTTTTCTCATAATGCAGAAATATTGATTGGGAGGGGGAAAAAAACCGTCATAGTTTTCATCATTCAGTCCGCGAATTGGTTTTTACAGATTTTGTTTTGTGACACATAACTTCTTTTCCTTTTTGTTTTACATAATGTATACGTCTATGAGACCTTGAATGAAAACGTATACGTTTTTTTTTTTTTTTTTTCTTCGTTTTGTTCCTTTGATTTTTTTTTAAAACTTAACAGTCTGAAACTAATATATATATATATTTTTTAATCTTATGAAAAATCTTTATCCATCGTTGGACCTCGTGGCTACCTAGCGGGAATGGAGATCGGATGAGATATAAGTGGCAACAAAATTTATGAGTATCTTTTTCAATTTTTATAGATAATATTTTATCCATTGTTGCACCTCGTGACTTTCTCGCAACAACGAAGAATTTCACTGTAAGTTTTAAAATCAACGATCTGAAATGGAGACTCTTTTTTTTTTTTTTTTTTGTCAGACAATTATCCATGAAATAGAGAATCTCACTGTTAGTGCTAATAGTATGTTTGTCAAGACCTAAATCAGTGTCTACACGGATTAAAACTGATGATCTCAATTACTGGCATACCAACGGAATATTTTAATCACTGCAATTATAGCAAGGTGTCCAAAATATGAAGCAATATCGGTTGTAGCATTCAGCCTACCCCAACACAGTTGGAGTGGAATATATTCAACTCGATGTGCGAACATCAGTCGCCACAACTGAAACCATCCACAAAGACATTTCCAAAGTCTTACCCGGTTAAGCACCCTAATTAACGACAACAAAATTGATGAATAATCTTTTTATTTTTAATCTTAATAGATAATCTTTATATTCCATCATTGCATCTCGTGACTACCTAGCAGGAATAAATAATTTGACTGTAAATTTGAAAATCTACAGTCTTAAATTGAGAATATGACGGTAAGTGGCAGCATAACTGACAATCTCGAAACTAAATAAAGATTATCCATAAGATAATCCCGCTAGAAATTGGATTATCCATAAGATTTATCTACACAATTTTCACTCCCTCCAAAAAATAAAATAAGTTTTTTTCAATATCAGTCAGAAAAATGAAGAACGAAATGTGACATGATGTGACTGACTGAAATTGGAAAAATTGATGGTCGGAAATTGACTAGGCTACCAACCGGGCCGCCTAAGTCACCCTATTTTCCCTGACGGTCCGGTTGTGCAAGGACCGGGGAAGGTCCCAGCCAAAAAAAAAAAAAAAAACTAAAAATTCAAAAAATCTGAAAAAAACTATGTTATATAGAAAAAAAAAAGTGAACAACGTTTCCTTCGGGGTCACAACGAAATTGTTTACCAAAAAAATAGATTTAAAAAAAAACTCAATTTCCTAGACTATTTTTTTAACAATTTGTTTGGCCTGCCTTACTTTAAAAATTGATAGTTTTATTTTAAAAAAACAATATTTTGTTGCAACACTTGTGTGAGAATATGAAGGAGCCCCCCTGGCCCCCCCCCAAAAAAAAGAAAATACATTCAAAACATTGTCATTAATACTCACTATAATATTATCTTTACGTGTTTTTTTCCCCGATATTTTCTGCCATCATCACCGTAGTTGGAAATGATGTCATGCAAATTAGTAAAAAGTTAGGCTACCAGCCGCGCGGCCCGGGTCACCTTGTTTTCCTGAGCAACCAGGTCGTGCAAGGACCAAAGAAGGTCGCATTAAAAAAAAAAAAAATGAAAAAACAACAATGTTATGCAGAAAAATAAACTGAATAACTTTTGCCTCAGAGTCACATTCAATTCTTTACAAAATTTCAACGAAAAAAAAAAATTGAAAAATATATTTTTATTTTGTTTTTTTGACTAGGCTACTAGAGTGGCTCGGGTCCACTTGCCCGACGGGGCCGAAAAGAAATAAAAAAGACATTTTAAAAATATATATATTTTAAATTTGGTAAAGAATTTCGATATGACCCTAAGACAAAAGTTGTTCAGTTTCTTTTTCTGCATAACATAGTTTTTTTTTGGAGTTTTTAAATATCTGTTTTTTTTTTTTTGGGGGGGGGGGGGGCTGGGACCTTCCCAATTCCTTGCATGGCGGGGCCGCCCTCGAAAATAAAGTGACCCGGCCGGCCCGAATGGTAGCCTAGTTTCTTAAACCATTTTTTCAATTTGTTTTTGCCCAGTCGGGCAAGTGATCCCGGAGCACTCTGGTAGCCTAGGTACAAAGGATTATTATTATTATTTTTTAAAAGTATTGAAGTTGTTCTTTCTCTCATTTGTTGTCTTTTTCGTATTAAAACTCACTCCACATCAACGGTTTCAAATCTTTTTTTTTTGGAAAAAAAGTAAGAATCCCCAGTGGAATCTGGTTTTTCTCAGGGTCGCCTTTGGAGTCTTAAGGGGCAAGGTCCCACTAGCAGAAACGATTGGATGTAACACCTAAATCTGAACGTGTTCACGGGTTGTGCACAAAACACATCCAAATTCAGGCGTTTAATTAAATA